CAACACACACACACACACACACACACACACACACACACACACACACACACACACACACACACACACACACACACACACACACACACACACACACACACACACACACACACACATACACACACACATACACACACACACACATACACACACACACACACACCATCTTGGGAGGACACCACCTGTCAAGTTTGACAGCCGTCACGTGATTTTTTCTTTGGCGTTTATTTTTCTTTCTTTCCCGCTTTGTTGCTTGGAAGTGACGAAAGGTGCAGCATGTGCATGAGCGGATATCAACCTTGTTTGCATCGGTGCCACCTCCTGTCAAACACACGCACACGCACAACACACAACACACAACACGCGTGTGTGCCCTTTCGTTGTTGGTTTGTTTGTGCTGTTGTGCCAGTGAAGCGCGTGCCTTTCTTCTTTGCCGGCCACCACCATTCTCCTCCTCTCACCACACCACCAAACACAACACAACATCAACAACAACAACACAGGAGAGACCATCATGTCGGTGTTGTCCAGTGTGCACGCCCAGGTCCATGAGACCGTGGGTCAGGCTGGCAGTGTTGTGACCAACGCGTGGCAATCCCTGCTTGGCGTCTTCCCCGAGGCTGTTCGCCAGCACATCACCGTCACCCGCGCCCTCGCTGCCACCGCCGTCGGCCTTGCCGTGACCTCCTACATCAAGGGCAACTACTTCCGTGGCCCCAACGTGCGTCCTTGTTGTCGTGCGTGTGCGTGTGCTTCAACTATTGTGTGGCTTTGTGCATGTCTCTTGCTGTGTTGCGCGGGTGTTCACACACACGCACACCCATGTACGCATACACACACACCACACACACACACACACACACATACGCACAGACAGATCTCTGTGTAACTCACTGTCTACCATCCGATGTACCCACCCTGATGTCGCCTCTGCTGCAATCCAACATTGACGCCCGATCGATCTCATGTTTACATCGTATTGGTTGCACAGGCCCCGCCCAAGGTGCGATCCGTCATCCCCTGGGTCGGATACGCCGTGCAGTTTGGCGAGCGCCCCATCGAGTTCCTCCTCGAGTGCAAGGAGAAGGTACACCACGCACAAAGCACACGCACAAAACACACGCGTTTCTGATCTGCACTCGCGCGTGTGTGTTTGATACATGTTCGCCGTGTGGGTCCTTCCCGACGTCACTGCTTGACCTATCAACGTATCATCCAACTCACCTCCTCGCATCTGTCACTTCACTTCACCCCACTTCCCTGCCCTGCAGTATGGCCCCGTGTTTACCTTCACCATGTTTGGAACAGACGTGACGTACTGCCTTGGTTCCGAGGCCTCGGCCAAGTTCTGGGGGTCCCACAACGACATTCTCAACGCCGAGGACCTGTATCGCAACATCACTGAGCCCGTCTTTGGCGAAGGCATCGCCTACGCCGTGCCACACAAGGTGCGATCGTGTGTGTGTGTGTGTGTGTGTGCCTGTGTCTGTGTGTGGGTATGTGTGTGTGTGTGGGTCTGTGGGTCTGGGTCTGTGTGTGTGTGTGTGTGTCTGTCTGCCTCTCTGTCTGCCTCTCTGTCTGCATGGTTGTGTCTTCTCGTCTATGTGTGTGTGTGCCTTTGTGTTGTTCGGTGTCGCACCTGGGAGTTTGTGTTCAGGACTTCCGTGTCCCCGTGTTGTTGCGTTGCGCGCTTGTGCTCCCCTGCCCCGCTTGCTCACGTGCCGTGTCGCCACACCGCGACCCCCCATTTCGCGCCATTTCGCGCCAACCAGGTGTTCTCTGAGCAGAAGCAGATGGCCAAGGAGGCGCTGACGAAGAAGCGCTTTGAGGCATACACGAGCATCATCGAGAAGGAGACACTCGACTTTATCAAGGGCTGGGGCGACTCCGGCACCTTTGACTTCTTCGAGCAGATGGCCAAGATGATTGTGTTCACCGCCACCCACTGCCTGCACGGCAAGGAGACGCGCGACAACTTTGACGCCACCGCCGCCGCCCTGTACCACGACCTCGATGGCGGGTTCACCCCGCTCGCCTGGTTCTTCCCATACTGGGTGCCCTTCCCAAGGTCAGATTTGGTGTGCATGGTGTTCGGCATGGATGAGGTTTGTTGGTGTGGACTAGTTCAAGCGAACGTTTTAATTTAAGCCAACACCACCCAGCTTAAACACGCGCGCACATACATACACACACGCACACACGTGCCCGCAGCGTGAAACTCACCCTTTCACATCCCCCGTCTCCTTTCCCACTCGTGCGTGACTGTGTGTGTGTGTGTAAATATACGTGTGCGTGTGCCTGTGCGTGCAGCTTCCTGCGGCGCGACCGTGCGCACGTTGAGCTGAAGAAGCGGTTTGGCCGCGTCATTGCCATGCGCCGCGAGTCTGGCAAGGTCAAGGCTGGCAGGACCGATCTCATGGAGACGTTTATGACCGTTCCCTACAAGAAGGTGCTGGACGGTCGCACCATGACCGACAACGAGGTTGCTGGTCTCCTCATTGCTCTCCTCATGGCCGGACAGCACACCAGCTCAACCGTCTCATCATGGCTCATCTCCTTTGTCTGGTGCGCCCCCATGCGTGTGTGTGTGTGTGTGTGTGTGTGTGTGTGTGTGCACGCAACTTCGTGAGCCTGCGTTGGTGGTCTTGTCGACTTGCATTGTGTTGTTTTCATCTCTTTCCAAACACTCATTCACGTTCCAATACACACACCACCACCACCACCACCACCATGATGACGACACCAGCACGGTCCCTGGGCTGCTCGACAAGCTGTATGAGGAGCAGAAGAAGGCGTTTGAGATCCTGCCTGGCCCTCTCTCCATGGAGCACCTCGACCACATGCCGCTGCTGCACGCGTGTGTGCGCGAGACGCTGCGCCTGCGCCCACCCATCATGTGCATCATGCGCCGCGCCCGCGAAGACTTTGTTGTCAAGGCCGAGGGCCGCACATATGCCATTCCCAAGGGCTCGCAGGTGTGCGTGTCGCCGACTGTGAACCAGCGCCTGCCGGACGAGTGGGACGACCCCCTGACATTTGACCCATACCGCTTCCTCAAGGTGCCGTGTTTGTGTTGTGTTGTGCTTGCGTTTGTGTGGTGTGTGTGTGTGTGTGTGTGTGTGTGTGTGTGTGTGTGTGTGTGTGTGTGTGTGTGTGTGTGGCATCTCTCTCTGTGCATGTATTTTGCGTGTACGCGGTCTGAACTCTTCTGCTTCTTTACCGTTTTAACTGCCTTTTCTTCATCCGTATCATCTTGTGTGCGCTTGCAACCCTCTTTTCGCCCTTGACCACCGCTCACACGCTCTCTCTTCTTCCTCCCCCCCCCCGCCTCTGCATTCTTCCCCCCCCCCGCCCTCTGCTCGCCTTTCGCATCTGCAGAAGGAGGATGGCAAGTACGTTGTGACAATGGGCGAGCACCTGCCCAAGGGCGGCCGCTTCAAGTGGGTGCCCTTTGGCGCCGGGCGCCACAGGTGCATTGGGTTTGAGTTTGCACAGCTCCAGATTCGCTGCATCGTCAGCACCCTCATTCGCAACTTTGACCTTCGTCTCGCCTCAGGTGTGTATGCGTGTGTGTACACGTGTGTTGTGTCTCTGTGTGTGTGTACACGTGTGTTGTCTGTCTCTCTCTCTCTCTCTCTCTCTCTCTCTCTCTCTCTCTC